GCTGAATTTAAATTTGCGGGATCACACGTGGGTGGGGAACGTTCCCCTAAATTTTCAGCTTCCTAGTTTTTGTGGTTCACGAGTTGAAAGTTGCGGACAGGTTGCTGCGGACACACACACACACATACAAACACACACACAGACAACCCCGTAACAATATGCGTTGTGTACTGCTGTTACACAGCACAAAACGCATAATAAAATGAAGTAAACTTTTATAAGGAGACGGGTTATAAACTAAAAAGGAAAAAATTTGAATAATGGCCCAGGCTGCAACACACAGACTTGGCGTTTTTGCGATCATGCATTTTTGCACTAAATTTCGAGTAGTTTGGTTATCAATTTTACGAATAATTGTTGCTTTAAATTTGACTTTTGTACTCACTGGCACAAGTCATTGCAAATTTTGCATAAAGGGAAACAAAAAATTTCTGTTTAGCAGTCATTTCTTGAAGATATCTGTTCAGCAAGCATTTTCCTGCCGAAACTTCTGACTGTCTTTACGCGAAAACCACACGTGGGAGGCTGAATTTGAAATCTTTAAGTTATACTTGCATAGAGGATATTCCGTTAAAACTTCAGCTCTTCTGTTCTCGAGTTACCAGTTTCCTCGGTAAAACTTTTAAATGCCCAAACGTGGGAAGCACGCACGCCTGCAGGCTGAATTTGAAATTTTCAAGCTGCACCTGGACATGGGACATTTCTTTAAAATTTCAGCTTTTCGATTCTCAAGTTTGCAGTTTTTCCGCCGAAATTCATACGTGCTCGCACGTGGAGTCCAGACGTGCGTGAAGGCTGGTACCACCGTCCTAGAGATGGCACTGTGACAAAATCCTAGCGCCGAAGCTTGCTTGGTTACCGAGCTGAAATGCCCGGACAGACGCGCACACGCATACATAAACGCACACATCATAGGTCGTCACAATATGCGTTTTTGCATTTGCATATGTGAAAAAATGCATAATTTCAAATAAACATTGGAATTTCTATAAATTTAAATACGTGCGGATGAACGAAAATTTTACACATGCCGTAAGATTTCTGTCAAAATAGTCAGTTGTAATACTTAATTCTCTTATAATAGTCCAAAGTGTCCTGCCAGTAGTAATATTTGAACCCACCGCTAACAATTTTCTGCATTCTGATAAGTACGAGTAGTTCCAGATCAGATGCCCCAAGTCGCGGTTCAGTTCTTTCTACATTATTGAACAGTGACGTAATATTTGGTCAACACTCCGCTGCTGCTACTGCCGAAGCTGCGGTTGTACCGGTCTTTCAGCAGTCTGACACGAGTGAAGAATACAAAGATTTTCAACTTCCTGCGGGCACATTTTCAGAAATGATTCCAAAGAAAAGGGTGCGCTTTAAGTATGTTAAATACTAATCACTTCAAAGTTTGTTTGTGAATCGAACTAATTTTATATTTAAAAAATGCTGCTAGTTAAGTGTGTTTATTGGAGCCGAGACTTACTGTGGCTCTTTGCTGAAAATTTAGACAGTTAGCTCACATAGAAATATTTGATTTAAAATTTTGTTTTCACCCCAGAAAAATTTAAGAAGGGGACGAAAAAAGAGAAACAGTAATTTGCAATGTCCAAAAAACGAATGAAAATTTTTTATTGGCCCAAATTTGGTTGTGCAGGTGCTTTAACCGGTTAAAAACCTCACATTAATTTATTTATCAACAGCAGAACGAGAGCAGGATGTAAGGAAAAGGAAGAAGGGTGAAGGGACGACTGTTCTCTTTTTCTAGTTTACTTGGAGAGGCAAATACAAAAAACTGCGCCACGAGACGCAAAGTTTACCTAGACTGAGGCAAGATTTAGCCAGGAGAGTGTGAAAGTTAGCCAGAGTAATACAAAACCGAATTGAGTGAAACTGATAGAAAACGTAGTTGAAAAGGAACCAGATCAGATGTAGGTGTTGTTTTATAATCCAAAAAATAATTGAGAAGCGGTAAATTTAGCGTCATAATGTCAAAGTCAAAATTCCCTTCGTATTTCGATCTCAGTGAAAGGCAGAAGCTGTTGAGAAGTAGCCCGAGTTATACGGGCAAGGCTCCCTCTTGCGAGGGTTGCTTAAAAGCAAGTTGAGAAATATATATATATATATATATATATATATATATATATATATGTATAGTGTAAAATATGTATTGCATTTATTTTCATACCTTTTCTAATGTTACTTCGAGACACTTAATTAGTATCGTATGAGACGATTCTAATTATGTCTCATTTAAACTGCTGTGCTAAAACGTGCCATTCCCATTGTACGGCTGCTTTGAAGTGGCTGTACCTTCCATGTAGAATGAATATTGATAACATCGGTGGGATCTGGTGGTTAAAAGGATGCCTTATGCACGAAATAAGTTGGTCCTGCAGCTTTGAGGCATTGACATGATTGTGCACGTAATGTGATCTTTTTGGCGAGATTTTCATTTGTGCTCATGATCGGTTTCTAGAACAGAACTGAAAAATCGACCGGTGCAACAAAATCGAACAGTTCTGTTGGATTTGTTGAAAAAGACAGCTCGATCGCCGGCTTGCGTGCGCCCAGTGCTTTATCAGGCCTCCGCGTGTCACCACGTCAACGTTGCGAGTGCAATTTGGTAAACGCAGCAATACGAGGTTCCAAAAAAGGACTCATTGCGGCACTACAAGTAAACTTTTACCACTCATTTTTTGATGAAACGTAACGTATGTTGAAACTGAATATTGCTTCAGTTGTTCAGAAATCACGATTACCAGTTGGTGCAGTTATGATGCTAATGCGATTTTGCATTTTTGCGCAAATACAAAAAGCGCATGTTGTAAGAGGTTGTGATCAAGAAGCTGAAACTTTGTGATAGCGCTGCCTGATTACCTGGGACAAATATTTAAGAGGGGAAGATTGTTTACCCACAGCAAGTAATATTTGATGTATCCAAGTACAAAATGTGAGCAGAAGATGCCAACTTAATGCATATAGCTTCGTACTTGCACAGCGGATATCTTCATAAAAGTACAATCACCCACCACCCACACAGACTACAAGTGAAATGAATGCCAGCAGTACTCGTACCGGAAATTTCACCCACTTATAAGTAAGATCTTGGCTTGTGCGTAAGATAAATTTCAAAAGTTCCTGTCACATACCGTCACATCTTCAGAAAATTTCAGCTTCTCAGCTAGTCTTCGAAGTCGCTTTTCCGCCCAAAGTGCTTTAACATGCTCGTATGCGTGGCACTGTTAGGTGCGATTATTCATTTCAGGTGTACAGACTCACAGATGTACAGCATATACTCTCGTAAAATTAGAGAAAGGAATATTCCCTTCTAAGGATATATTTAAGGAAATGTTCTCTGTCCCAGTACAAATTACAAATTCAGCCCCCAGGTAACGTAGTTCTGTTGTGCGAGCACGCAATATCTTTGATGGAAAAATTGCTCATCAAACGGCCTTGTCATTTTCAGTGCATAATATTCAACGCACCTTCCTCTTTAGGCAAAAATCACACTGATTTACACTATGAATGCATAAGTCAAACACAGGTAACAACCATTCATACAGTTAACGATCTGTTTACTTCTTGTTTAATGCAAAAACGCATGCTCGCACTTGTAAGCCTGGTGCTTTCTGGTCTTGGGCTCTTAATTCATGTTATTTCCCCATAAAACGTCGTGTATTCTACATGTTCACTTTTATGTTCGTTACTGCTTGATTTTTGCTGCACTTAGGATGGAGAAGATGCGAATGATTGTGATAATTTTGGCATGACAGCTTTATATCATGCTGCGACACGTAATTTCACTGACCTCTGCCGAATTCTAATTGAAAATGGCGCTCTGATCAATGCACATGGTAATTTACTTTGAATCATTTTATTTCAATGCATCTGAAATGATTTAAAAATCGAGCTTTTGTAGAGTGTATGCTTGCTGGCAGCTCACGCGGTAGCACATGCCAACTGCAGGCAGCTGATATCAAGGCTTTCAACAATATTCTTTTTTGAAGGCTGAGTCGAAATAAACCCTGGTTGTGACTTATCTGCCTATGTTTACCATCAAAACGGACAGGCTATTCGTAAAGAGAGTGATTGTCTGTTCTAAGGCAACCAGTTCTTCTAGAATTCGCTCGTTCATTTTGATTATTACCTTCTACAATCGGATTCTCGATCTTTAGCCTATGTAAACATTCATGACAGTATACAAAAAAAAAAACTATATTATACATTTCCCTTTTTTATTCGTTTTTTGCAGCAATGCAATGCGAAAAACGCATATTGACGAGAGGTTGTGTGTGTGTGTGTGTGT